AGGCTTAAAGATATGTATATGTTTCGCTCACAATCGATTTAGCCAACTGCCGAGCTTACCTTCAGTGATCCAGTTTCTCCACTTGTGGTTTTTGTGCGCGATGGACATGCTTCTATTCGACTACCCTGATTGCAGATCTATTTCTAACTTGCTTTATGTTTGCAAGTAGACTCTGCCAACTTTTACCATATTTGGCCGCTTCTATTCAGCAACCTCTTTTTATAAATGAGCTTCTTATGGTCCTCTGATTGTCTGGACAATTTCGACATTGGCGAACTACTTGCATGATAGAAATTTATTTCAAATGGCAGGCGTTTTGATAGTTATCATTAGCCCTTTAGCTGACTTTGGGTTCCAAAGTGACAAAAAAGTGGAGAGGCGGGACAGATAATGAGTTACGGACGCCTAAGAGACAGACAGACAGACAGACACAAAGGCAGGGAAGAGGTAAGTTGAGTACTGTGAAAGTAGTCGAATATGACCGCATACAGTGGGGTGATGGTGGTTTGAGGTCAGAAGTCAACTGCCAGTTAATAGACTTTTTGTTGTATGAATATACGTTACCCAGGGTGCACCACTTGGAGGTAAGTCTATCGCACACCACTGTATGGTAGAAATAGAAAGCATTGTAATCTAGGCTTAACCACTCTTTGAATTTTTTCAAGTACTGAACTTTTTCTTATTTCAATTACTTTTAAGAAGGATATAATCGTCTGCTTCCATATATTTACTTATGAATAATAAAGTAACTTGTGTTCATAATAGAATGTACTCTTCGCCTCCGGGAATGTAACGGTGTTTGATAACATGGTAACTAAAGTGAAGGAAGACACGGTTGATGCGATCGTATGTCCTGCAAAGACCATTCAAGAGCACTGCGATGATAAGACAGGAGTTTGGACACGAACTACAACATTTTATATTCCTGATGGCTGTAACTGTAAGAAAAAACAGAAGGTAAAATTCGGAAAGTGTGGTGAGTATTATAATGCATTCAGAAGTTTTTTTATCACAAAGCTATTTATTTTAACCGTTTAAATGCCGATTGCATCTTCACTTTTCCTAGTGTGTCCGCCCCCGGAGGTATGGACTTCAGCATGTGAGAATCAATTCCGCACCGTGATGACCACGTCCTACAGGCAAGTTGAAGGTGAATGTCTTCCTTACGAAACAACAGCCCGAGAACGATGCAGTTGTCCAAGTGGCTCAAGGCAAAGCCTCAAGTGCGATGGAAATGGTCAATTTAATAACTGCACTCTTACTCACGAATTTGTGCCTGTTTCTAAGGCTTGCAGGACAAGGAAACATTGTGTTAGTTGGAAGAAGGTTTGTCCTCCAAAAAGGGAAGAGAATGTGGGTACCTGTGGCCCTGAAACAGGCTACAGGCAGAAAATTAGCGAAACCACCTATGTTTTTGATAAATCGACTTGTAAATGCAAGCCTCGAGTGATCATCAGGTTGACTGGTTTCTGTGGTGAGTCCTCTTGCAAAATTTTTCGAGTTCATATTACTCTTTTTAATTTACACATACTCGTTCATATATGGTTTAGCTAATATATAATATTCTAAAGTAAGATCGAGCTTTTGCATTTAGAAATACCTGAAATTGTTAATTAGTACTTAATCAAAGAGACGAGGATAGAGGGCCCGACTTTCATGACATAATTGATAATTCAGTCAGCAAAGGAAATTTTTTCTAAACCATGATCATCGTTAAATCTCTGAACACTGAGAAATAGGAAGAATGATTCAAAGTTTTAGAACGATGGAAAAGGAGACAGAAGAATCTTATTTTATTAAAATACCAAACTAATTTCACTGATTCCCTTGAGATTAACTTTTAACGGAAAATTAAGAGGAAATTTTTGTACATATGGATTCTCCACCTTGCCTTTCCACGTGTTGGCCTTAGCAACTTCATACAGACGAAGGCTTCTGTTAGTTGGTTGATCAGCTATGGCTTTGTGGTGATTGATTTATCATTCCTTTCCTATTTCGATTTAGCTTGCGTTGTGACTGATTTTCAGTAATGCGCGAGATTGGTATCTTTACATATTTTAGTGTACCAATTACATTCACCCTGCCGAATACCTTTTTAGCCACTTTTGTTCCTGCAGGTTAAAATTGTATACCGATGAGACTTTACTAACTCTTTGGCTAATGCATCAACTTCATTATGGAAATTGGTTTATGGATTTGATTTTCTCTTAATAGAAAGAGTTTCACCGCAGATTTCCAATAGGCCCTTTATATCTGATAGTATATTTTAATAAATTAAACCAGCTAAAACGTCAAAATGGACATCTAGAATCAGCATGAGAATGTCGAAGTTTAATGCGTGCTTTTATTCGTGTCCATAACGGGAGTGTAGCGGATTTCTACGCTAATAAGCCTAGAGTTATGCTCATTAATCTCTATGGCAGATTCTCCGATGTTTGGAAAGACTCTCAGAATTAGCTAATCTACCGTAATGCTTTAGAGGGAACAGATATATCACGTGTTCCACGTTTATTTTGTCTGTGTGGTGTGCCTTACAGATAGGGAACTTAGTCATTATATTATAACTGCGGGTTTGCTAAACCAAGCAAGAACTATTGATTTGCGGTTGGATGCGTGTTCTCCGGTACTGACTCGAAATTGCTCGTCAGCACCTTCAAATCTGTCTGAGTGCGCATGAGAGGATTGCTCATTGATCATTGGTTTATTTTACCAACCCTTTTAATACTATATTACTGGGAAATATGTATACATGTTTATCTACTTTTTCCCCATTTTAAAGGGTGCCAACACTTGAACAGGAGAAACAGCTCCTGTGAAAATGGAGTTAAATCATCATCAATAATAACTTACAAACTTGATGATGGCAAATGTATTCCCGAGGAGAACACTATACGTGAAAGAATAGGTAAAAGATAATTTACTCAATATTCCTGCTTATGACTAAGCACTTATACCTATAATGTATTTAAAATAAAGCTAATGAATTTCAATCGGTGTTCTTAATAGAGATTGTCTTTTTCAGCGTGTCCTCCAACCAAAGAGGTTGCTGGCTTATGTGATAGGGATCCAAACTCACCGAAAGCTGGACTTCGAATCAAAACTCTTCACCAATTTGAAGTAGAAGGCTGTGAATGTGTTTCCCGGGTTACCAATATAACTGAGATTTGTGGTAAGTTACTTCACTATGACAAGGAGCCTCTGTTTACAAAAGTTCATTACTCTATTTGTACTTGGCCAAAATCATCAGCTATATTCTGTATATTGCTAGTTATAACCTTAAGCATTGGCACACGATATAGGAATAGATACTGAAAAATAGATCTTGTAAAGTAGTTAAAATGAATGTTTTGAAGATAAAATCCAAAAAGATTAAATAAATTTTGATGGATAACCTCCATCATCCCTCATTTCAAACACTGATATCTGAAACTTCTGTACTTTTTATCATTTCGTGAATCAATTACGCCTGTCATTCTGGTTATTCACATTTCCCACTCGCATGGGAGGAAGTCCCAAAATCTACTCTAATTCACTCCTCTGCCTACAAGTTCAACCAGGAAAGTGCAAAAATTTTTTTTATCCAAAAATGAAATTATTAATACCCTAACATGAGTCTCATTATCTTATCTGCAAAAACGCTGAATTGACATACCGCTAAATTCATGAAATGCCAAAAGCACTTCCGCATTTTTACTGAAAAATCTTGAAGTCTTTATCTACTTATTTAGATTCCATCATAACCTTCTGATTTAAATTAATTATTCTGAACTTCCTGATGTGAATCTCAGAAAGTGAAAATTGCAAATAACTCCTCTGGTATCACATTGGAATGAGCCACATTTCAACTGTATTATGGTAGTGGAAAGTGTTTGCTTGCATATGTAAATATAAATTAATTTAAACAAGTTTTAAGGCCATCGAATAAGCAAGAATTATTCCATTTCTTAGATTGCGACCTTCGCCATGGAGTAAGGAATGAAACAAACTGCCAGGGAAATGAGGTGGTGAATGCGGTGACACGTTGGATCCTCAGAGATGGCGAATGTAGTCCGACTCGCATCGTTTCTCGTAGCAAACTTCGTAAGTTATTGGAATGCAGCTCAACTTTAATTGCTCATGAATGAGTTTACGAATTCCATTCGCTTTGAATAGAATGCGATCAAAAGGTTTCTGAGTCCATGATCGTTCAAGGAGAGTGCCACTCTGGTGAAGACGGTTTCGGAAGACAAAATATTACATATTATGAGCTTCGTCCAGCCAACTGTCAATGTAAACGAGTTCCAGTTAAAGTTGACACCCAAAATTGCCGTAAGTAAAAGGATTCTTGAAAAATGATGTACTGCGTATTTCACTCAAGTATTGTTCTCTTTAGATTGTCCGAAAGCTAGTGTGAAGAGAAAATGCCTGAATAAGGGCACTAACTTGGTCGAGATAAGACGTAAATATGTCCTGAAAGCAAAAGCCGGAGTCCCTGTATGCATTGAAAAACAAAATGAAAGACCAATCTCTCCGTGTTTTTCCAAAGGAGGTAGTAAATACTGGGAGAAAATGGGTTCTTGCGATTCATCAACATGCCAAAGGGTGGTTCACGTCTACAAACGAGCTCCACGAGGTTGTCAATGTCCCACCAAGAAGTTAGCTCACTTTCTCATTTTATTGATTATATAACTGTCGAGTGTTAATGGTATTTATTTTAACACCAGATTAAGCCGTATGGAGATGTGCTGCTGTCCAAAACCCACTGCACCTACATCCACTTGCAATGAAAAGTCAAATGCTATTGAAACGCGATTCCTCTCACACGCTTTACAATCAAATATGACAATTGGCGGCAAGGCATATGTTATTGAGCCATATTGTGCTGAATTGAATCACACAACGATAGTGCCTGTATCGTGCGCAGAGACTAAGCCCAAGGTTATAATTGGAAAATGTCGGAAAGATAACCATCAGATTGTAAAAGTCATCGGCAAACGTCCAGTTAACTGCTCCTGCGAAGAGTACGAAATTAAAAGAATGCGGAATCGATGTGGTAAGCTAACTCTTTAACTATTTTCTTTTTATTAATCCGTCTTCAACTGAAATCTTAATATTAAAATGTCCTTTCCATAATCTAGGGTGTCCAAAGACTGTTAGCTACACTTACGGTGAGTGTATTAATGGTCGGCAAGTTGAAAAGGTACTAATCCTGCAATCCATTTCTCACGAAAAGAGGGTTACTGAAGGAGTATTAGTAAATGAAACCAACTGTCAGCAAGTTATTGTAAGTCGACGACATATACCTTGTGCTTGTACTGAAAAGCCTCGCATTCTACGCAAATGTCTCGAAGGCAATCGTCTTCAAATTGAAGAAATTGAACAATTCTTCAATGAGACTTCAAGAACATGCCAAAAGCAAGCTTCCAAGAAAGTTTATCAAACGAGTGAGTGGGACATTCTTATTTTTGCGCTAATGGTATGTTATTTATGACGGATATGCTTTCCAGTTTGCCCTAAACCAAATAAAACGATATCCCAATGTGGTGCGGAGGAGACCGGCTTTACGGCGGTAGAAACCTTGACAACTTGGACGCCCATCGACTGTGAATGTGTGCCGAAGGTCACAGAAAAGCCCTTCGTGTGTAATTGTACTGTAAAGTATCCGCCTAGAACAAGAATTGATTGCAAGGACAATCATATTCTGGAAGCAGTCACGACTTCGTTTGTATCTAAAGGTCAAGAATGTGTACCCCAGAACTCAAAGGTTACTACGAAAGTTGGTAAGTGATTCGATGTTAATCTCTCAATACTCATCCATGGATGTATTGCATCAGTGGGTGCTGCCATAGTTATTCACAACAGTGGAACATGAATTCTCATCTTTGACTTCTTATGAACAAGTATATAAACATGCGGAACAATAACAACGTTGTAGTAGTGCACAAAGTCAAGATTTAAAAGCGCCGTGATTTTTCCGACTCGTATCTTTAGATTTTTAAATTCAGAAATTCAGTTAATTGCAACAAAGCCAGCTGTTTAAGAATTCTGTTTTATTTTATTTCAAATTGCAGGCTTTATGAGAGTTATCATAAGTCCTTTAGTTGACTTCGGGCTTCACAGAGGGGAGGAACATCAAAGTCACAAAAATTTGAGAGGGGAAATAGAGGAGTGGCTAACAGACGTAAAGGGGACAGACGCAATGGTAGAGAAAAAGGTGAGGTAAGTACTGTGGAAATGGTCGAATATAGCATACAATGGGGTCGTGGGGTCAGAAGTCAACTGCCGGTTAATTGACTTGCCGTATGAGTATACATTGCCCATGGTGCACCACATGGAGGTAATTCTATCGAGCATCTCAAGTTGCGAGGATATGGAGCTATTAAAATTAAAACTTCAGAACATTGTCCCTATCTTCCAAGCCAGAATGCTTGATTTTAAATTCAGTCGAAACCAGTCTAATTCCACTGTTTTTTAAGCCGATTATCTCATTATATGTACCACTTCTGATGGTTAAATTTGGTCAGCACTGGTCTATGCTCAAACGCAACTCATTGAGCACTATTTATATTGCTCAATTACATGGTTGTAAATATCCTTAATTGTAAATAAAACAGTGCTGGTCTGCTGCCTATCTGAACAATTCGATTCATTCCTTAGTACCATTTTCGATCCCCATCATATCAAAATAAATTAATGTAATTTACTTCTTCAATCAATGAATATTTGCAAAGTGAATGGGTAATAAAATCAGCACTCATTAATAAATATTAACCAAATATTGAATGATTTGTTGGTTTTGATTTTAGTATGCTCAACTGAACTGCGATCCAAAGCTTCCCAAATATGCGATAAGAATACACACATGAGAAAAGTAACTTGGTTTAGACAGGTTCCCCAATCATGCAAATGTGAATGGCAGCCCATTAGCTCGGACAAAGAACTGGAGTCTCGAGGCTTGAAGTCTTTTGAATTTTGCGAATGTCCAGACGCCAAGGAAATTGATTTGAAATGTATGCGTGTGGGGCCTAGCCGATTTTCTCAGGAAAAGACATTAATGAAGTACTTCAGAAAAGGAGCTGACTGTGTCCCTGTTAAAGAGACGGTGTTAAACAATTTCACTTGTCTCGAAGGTGCTCAAACACATAGGTATGATTATTTTGGTTGGTCTAATTGAATCGTTTTAGATCCTCCTGTGATCCTCTAACCGGTCAATTAGTTGAAAATCATGTAATCGAGCAGGTTGATAAAAAAAATTGTTCATGTCGCCGGATTGTTAAAAGTAGTCGTCAATGTGCTTGCAACTGTGGCGGATCATCTTCAGCTCCTCTAAATTCAAAGACCATCTGTCATGCTGCCAGTGGAGTCCTTGAAACTGTTGAAGAAGTTGCTGAATTAGTAGATGGTTGTGCGTGTCGTCGAAGTCTGAAACGGAACTCTCGTCCTGTTCAATGTCCAACCGGAATACTTCAACAGTCTGCAACAGAATGTGAGGTAGATGATCATGGAGATAGTTATCGAAACATCACGTGGTCCACGAAAATTCGTGAAGGATGCCGTTGTCTAGCTAAAAATCACACCAGAAGAGAAATCTGCTGTGAGTCAATGGTTTAATAAATAGAATATATATTTTTTCTTTATTTTTCACATTAATCCAAATGTCGGTTCTCTTTTTAGCCTGTGCTCCCCAAGAACGCAATCTCACTCGCTGTGTGGATAACGCAAGAATCGAACTAAAAACCCTTCGACGTGTTCCAACTGAAGGAAATAAGTGCGAGGAGAGAGAAGTAGCTAGAAAAGTAGTGGAGATTAACTGTCCCAAGGCACGCACTCTAAGTAGCGTTTGCAATAATCAAACAGGATTGGCGCTGGTGACGAAAGAACAGCCGATTGTTGAACAGTGTATTTGCAAGACTCGAAAACAGAAATTCAAGATTCCGTGCAGTGAGCTCCAACTCTTATTGTTTGCACGTTTACATACTTGAGAAATAGTTACGAATATCCGTTTATCCTGATTGCTTTAGTTGAGCTGTTTCATGCAAATTGGGTAAAAGGAATCGATCCCGTGCCCATCAATAGCCAAATATTAGGATTTTTGCACGATTTGAGTACAATTTGGCATGATTTACCCATTGCTCACTATCGTTCTCTTCAAAAAATTGAGATTAAAAGAGGAAAGGTAGACCTGGACTCACTAAAGTTGACAAGACTATACCACAGACATTAAACATTCTAAAAGTCCTTCCATGATTGGACATTTGTTTACCAGTAACTTCAAAGGCGATTAGTCTGACTAAGTAAGTGCCGGCTACCCTTCCTTCCATTGAATTTGTTATGATAGGTACTGAACTTACGACTTCATACTTCACAGATACGTACTTTAATCACTGCATATCTATTAATGACCAGTGATTAATGGGGTATATGCATAGGTCTCAGTGACTGAAATTCTATATATTAGAATTCACAAATCCTAAAGGCCTGATCCCGATATTTACTTAGTGTAATAATTTCGCTTTTCAATCTAGTAATTTGCCTTTCTTGACAAATGCTTACATTTTCAGTTGGTACTTACTGAATAGAAGCTTCTAAAACAATTTAATGGAACGCTCTATTGTGAGCGTCCTTTAGGCAAAGCAAAAGAATGCATTTATTTAGAGTTGGAACTGAGGGGAACTACTGTGCGTTGGGCAGGTAATTCAGATGTTAAAATTTAAAAAAAAGTTTGTTCTTTTTAATGTAGAGTGTAACCCACTGGAGAAGATGATATATAAATCGCCTTGCAACACCACCACATGTCTTTCATTTTCCGTCTACACTTTCGAGGTTCCTGATGCCACCCAAAATGGCACTTGTTTGACAAAGAAGGTGGTAAAAGAATCAAAGTGTTGCTGTCCACCATCACAGAAGGAACGAAGTTGTGACACTTCCAGTGGCATGTTCCGGTCTCGAATTCAAGAATTCCGCCTACTGAATGGTGAATGCACGTCAATAGTTCAAATCTCTGCAGATCTTCCAGTTATTTGCCCGAAGAGTGAATCAACAGCTGTGAAGATTTTAAAAACGGGGAAGGTTCGCTTTCTTCGGCAGAGAACAGTTCGTAATGGTTGCAGTTGTCGTAACATTTCAGAAACTGCTTTCTCCAAATGGAGTGAGCCTAAATTAAATAGGCAGCACCTTAAAGCAATCGTGGTACCTCAAAGTCTTCATTTTAATTTTAGAATGCCCCAAGCAAACCCAAAGTCGGAAATGTGTAAAACAAGATGGTACTGATAATTACGCTTGGCGAACTTCAGTTTCTCTTTGGAAGCCTTTCAAAGGCAAAGTACCTACATGCAAAAATCACGAAGTCAGTATTAGCGAGACTCCTATTTCCTGTCCTTCTGAAAAGGTCTTGGAATCTAGTTGCTACTTTTCTCCTGGCCGAAACGGATTTTTCAGGAATGTAACTACGAGGAGCATGAGAGTTGTCGATTGCAGATGCGTTCCACAAGAACCAGTAGTTAAGAAATTCGTTTGTAGTTGCTCTGAACCAGTAGTCCATACAGCTTGTAATGAGTACGTGTTCAACTTTATTTATTTTTGCATTTTGAAATTTCGCTGAATTACCCCTTATATTTAGTGAGGAGGGTCGGATTACAGAAATAACCATGTATTTCAATGCATCTGCTGACGGCAGTCGATGTATTCCACACGAAATTCGTCGTGAGTGGCAGGTTAATTGCGCTCCATCAAGTCCAGTAATGCGTAGGAATACAGCATGCAAGAACGGACTTTTCCAGAAAATTTATACTATGCGAAAGCGAAACGGATGTCGTTGCCGAGCATTTACTAAGCGCCTTTCCCTGCCTTGTGAATGCCCGGAGCCGAGTATCGAAACCACGTGAGTCAGTTGTTTACTTATTTCAAATGACAGGCACTTTGTTAGTTATCATTAAACCTTTAGCTGACTTCAGGCCTCACAGAGGAGGAGGGGGGAACATCAAAGTGGCAAAAAGTCAAGAGGGGGGACAGAATAATGGCTCACAGATGTAAAAGAGACAGCCAGGCACAAATTTTGAGTAAGAGGTAAGGCGAGATCTGCTGAAATGAACAGACTCAGAGGTAGAAAAAAGGTGAGGTGAGTACTGTGGAAGTAGAGTAATATGACATACAGTGGGGTGATGGTAGTTTGAAGTCAACTTCCGGTTAATATAATTTTTTGCCGTATGAGTATACGTTGCCCAGGGTGTACCACGTGGAGGTGAGTCTATCACACACCCCCCACGTGTGTCATTCTGATGCGTGAAAAATGCGTGTTGATTACGATTTGATTCGTAATTCACTCACGTTTTTCGCTCCACTTTAAGTCTCAGTACACTAAAAAATTAATTTCTTAAAGAAATTGGTATCGTTAATACGTGCTTAACAGAGTGGTTTGGGGGTTAATTTTATTATGGGTAATCAAATTTTTAATCTAATCTAAATGCCATTCCTGAATGAAGTCAGTGAAAATGACTTCAAGTTTACTCAAGATTGTGAAGTTGAAGCATTAAACTGCTCGAATTTTCATTAAGGTAGATGTGTCTGTTGAACCATTGATTTTAACTAATCTAGATTAACCTTCCGAAGTCTGCTCATAAATTTAAAACTATATTTACCTTTGTAACACTTGATTGGGTAAAGGATATTTTATGGTTTTTTCTTTCAGGGTACTTCCTAATAAGTTTATAAGCACTAATTCACCTCAAAGATATCAAAATGGACTCTGTTTCACGTTTAGGTGCCTTGAAGACGGAGTGATGCAGTTGACGAATACTACAACTTACACTAGAGAACACTTAAACTCACCATGCAAGCGTGAGGAACGAATCACAAGGAATGTTATTTCGTGTGATTCTCTTCCTGAGATTGAATTAAGACCAGGACGAGACTACATAATTCGTCCGATTGAAGATGGAAATTCCAACCGAAGTGTCCTTCACGTTTATCCCTGTGGCACAGGAGGTTCGCCTTGTACCAGACGCGTGGTCAAGGTGACAGCTGTCAAAGCGAAGGAGGGTTGTCAATGTGATATTAAACGAGAGGAGAGAATCGAGTCGTGCTGTTGCAATGCGAATGGAAGGTTGAGGAATATTCAAAAATCCCATTGGATTGAATGTGATTCCCCAGATCATCCGTTGTCAATCCGACAGCAGAGATCTTGGCATCTTGTAGATGGAAAGTGCTGGCCTCTTACTTTAACATCCTCAAAACCACTAGGTAACTTAAGTCAAAAGCTTTATTCATAAAGATATAATCAGTTAATCAAACCTAAGGTTGTTATTTTTTAAGTGTGTTCGGATGAGGCAACGGTAGCTCCACTCGGTGTTTGTTTTAACGGAACCCAACGCTATGCTGTTACCAAATCAATAAGGGAAGGCTGTAGCTGTAAAAAGGTGAAATCAATTGAATATCGACCATGCTGTAAGAAACTTGCAAATTTGATATCAGCTCTTTCGATTTACATTTTGAGGTAACGCGTTTTTATTTAAGTATGCCAGACAGTATCAGCAGCTGAAGTGGTCTTTGTTGTGGATGAGTCAGTATCGAGTCGGATTCCAGATTATTCCCGTCGAGTTCGAGATATTCTGCAACTCACGATTCAGACATTCAAAGATTCCCAAAACAGGAACTCCTCAAGTAGCTCGTTCCGCTTTGCTGTTGTGAAGTACTCCAGTGATCCTAGCATTGCTTTTAATCTGGATCAGTATGAAGACTCCGCTCCAATGCTTAGTCACGTTGAGAGCCTGAACTATGAGGGTAGGCTCTCGAATCTCGGAAGAGCACTGGAACTGACAAGAAGTGAGGTAAGAAAATTCTCTATGCGTCAACTATGAGAAAAGAGATGCAAACTTATAAGAATACCACTTAACTGGAATGAAAAGTACAATAAGATGACGAAATTATGATAGTTAAAAGCTTGAATCTAGATACTTCTAATTGATTTTCTATTATTTGTTATGATTTTCTACTTAAGATTCTATCTGGAGTTCGTACTGGAATTCCAACAATAATATACATCATTAGTGATGGTGTGAACGACATTTCCGAGGGTGCTAAGGAACTAGCTTCAGATTTGACTTCAACTGGAGTTCAAATTCTTTCTATCGCCGTGGGCGCAGACGCTAGAGGCAAAGCATTCCTCTGGAGTCTGACATCCAAACCTCACAACCGGCACTTCATGGTTCATTCGCTGAAAGCAAGAAATGAAAAATTATCCAACTGGCTTATAAATTCCCTTTGTGTTCAAGGTGTGTTTGTTGAATTTACAAATGTGATTTGGCTATTTCATTCTAGCTTGTCCTGAAAGTACACAGACAAGAAGCGTCTGTTCCAGGGACACGGGATGTCTGGGCCTAATCTATGAGCAGAAATACCAATACAAAGCAGACCTAGGCAAGTGTGTTGGAGTCTCGGTTAAGCGACCTTACCGTTGCTGTAAGTATGCAAAAGTAATCTAATATTTATTTCCCACTGAAATGTCGATATCATGGGTTAATTTTAGGCTGCCTTGAAGAGCCAAGAGAGGAGCAGAGATGTGTCAACGGAAGTTTTATTGTTACCAAAGAGATGTGGAGATTGAATGAGGAGGGCAGAAGTGGTCTTGCGGTCTGCCAGCACTTCAAACTCGAACAGGACTTGACGGGCACATTGATAAAGAGTACGTTGACCTTTAGAAAATTGTAGGTTTCCTCTCTTGTCAATTCTGAATGCCACTTACCGAATATACTTGCTGGAGTGCAGGAACATCAATTTTGATTACAGCATTTATTAGCGTCAAATGACAATGGAGAAGTGGTTAAGATCGTAAAAATAAAGTATACTTGTTAGTACAGGATGACATCTTATAAAGACCAAATATGTAAGGAACTAACATCTATTTTATTTCATTTTCTTTAATAGAGCTATTTGAGCATATGCATTAAATCGTTGAGTTATTTTTCTCGATTTACTTATACTTATAGTACTAAATGAACTCATAAAGCAGTACGTTCTCATGTGTTCGTTTTGCAACAAGCCATTTTAATATATATGAAGTGTTGGAATTTTAGTTAAAAGCCCTCCCCCCTACGGGTAAATATCCTTAAATGAAATCAAGTTAAGAAGTTAAATCAAACTCCTTGAAGTCAAATGTTTATCTCTTCTCACTCTAGGCAGAGAAGCAGTGCTTTTGTGCCATCAAATACGCAAATCACCTTTTATTTCGATTTTTACTCAATTTAACCAACGTCATTGTTAATGTCTATCAATGAACGTGCATTGATCGGCATTCGAGGTGGTAAACATAGACACTGACTACTGACCCCCCCCCATTGTTGCAGACACACATAGACAGAAATAGGAGGAGATAAAATTCCTAACGCTATTTGGGAAAACTTCGTCCATTCTGGTCAGAAGCGCAACATTGAGTTGAGTCCATTTTGGAAAACTCGAATTTTGACCAAAATGGTTCGGTTGGCTGCTCCACTCACAGCATTTGGTTCAATGCCCGTTGAATCGTCTGCCTTTGCATTTTTGGTTGATCACTTGTATAGCTCCGTAAAGGAAGAAGAAACACCAATCCATATTTATATTAGCATCAATGTTTAAACCCCTCGCATTAAGCTCTCTTAATGTTATAAAAATAATCCTTAATCTATGCGAGTTTTTACATTTTTTGCATTTTTAGATTGCCGGCCTGTACAAGTAGAGCTAGGTGAATGTTCCGCCGATGGAACGCGTACAGAAGTCACGATTCGAAGGAACTTCGATAATTGTGAATGCAAGGTAATTTATATTTACTTGTTTGATGAAATGCACAAATCGTAGAAGACAACGCGTTAGGTGACTTTTGGAGATATGCATAAATAAATGCTGACTGCAATCCCAATCAAGGTGATTGCTTAAAAACCACAAGTATAGATTATATATCAGAAGCTAAGCTCCTTAAACTTGAACAATTTACACCAATGAACATGGTGGTTGACAGCGATACTGAACAAAAGAATGCGTAATAGTAGTACTAGGAACAGCATTTCCAATGAAGAAATTTTACATTAAATGACAGGCTTTATGATGGTTATCATTAGCTCTTTAGTTGACTTCGAGATTCACAGAGGGAAGGAACAGACAAAGTCACGAAAAGTCGAGAGAGGGAACAGAAGGGTGATTCACAGATGTAAAATAGACAGATGCAAAAGTAGAGAAAAGGTAAAGTGAGTATGGTGAAAGCGGTCGAAAAAGGCATACAGTCGGGACGTGGTAGTTTGAAGTCAACTGCCGGTTTATGGACTTTTTTAGAGGAAGGTTCAATGAAGAAATAAGAAGTAAAAAATTATATGTACAACTAAGAGTCATAGTTGACACCTGCACCATTTCAATTGTTTGTTTAGGAAACACGATATGAGACTGTGAAGAGGTGTTTCTGCAATTCGAAGACTCGAAATGAGGAGCGTTGTGTTGACGATGATCGAAAACAACTTACAATTCGTCAAGAAGTTCTTGATTCAGATGGTCAATGCAACGAACAGGAGACAGTCTTTATAAAGCAAATCCGTAGGCGCACAATATGTTGGCGAAAACTATTATTATAATCGCCTTTTTAATATAATATTGAAATTTATTATTGTTTATATTTATAAATGACATTATAGAAAAATATTATAAGAGATAAGAGACGCAGATTCCATTAGCTAAATTGATTTCCAATTGCTACAGCTCTCCGTATAACCACTCTTTTACTACTCTTAGTTATAATTAGTAATTAAAACCCAATAATTCCAACACTTTAACCTTACATTTTCTTGTCATTTAGTGTGCTCAGAGCCAAAAGTGTTCGCTGGGAAGTGTGACCCTATGACCTGCAAACGTAGGGTTACTTACCTGAAAGAACGTCCTGAACAATGCAAATGCCGAAAACAATTCAAAGTTATATTCGAACCTTGCTGTAATTTCTATTATTTAAAGTAACGACTCGATTTCTTAAGGTTGTATTGATCCAAAATCTGCATCAAAAGAAAATGGATGCAGTGAGAATGACATGAAATTGATCACTACCACATCAACAGAATTTGATGGTCATAGACGGGCTTGTGTAACCAAAACTGAGAGGAAGTATGAACCTATCGGTAAGTTCACAAAAACTTCTTCTATCTTATTGATTATTCTATGCGTTTTTAGTCTGTCCGAATGAGCCTGTGATAGCGAAATCGGAATGCGGTCACTTTGGACGTGATGTCGGGGGAAATGAGGATCCAAATCTACAATTTCGTAGAGTGGAAATCACTTCCTGGAAACTTGAAAATTGTGAGTGCGTCCCTATTCGTCGGTGGGAATTTGAGGCGTGTGGATGTCGGGAAATAGATCAGCCGATGGTACACGAATGCCATAATGAGACAGGAATTCTAATTTCATATCAGCAGCGCTTCGTTCTCTCTGTCATCGGAAGCAATAAAACTTACACTGGTTCTGAAGCTATCGGCAGACGATTTGACCAATTAGAGCAGGCCAAATGTACACCTGTCTTCTCTGGTCGGACTATTACACAAATAGGCAAGATTTTTTCTCCCCTTTTCTATTCCTAATAAGCATGTTTAATAAGGAGAGTAGAAAAGCTGAATGGGAGAATATTTGATTTGTGTAGCATTGAAAGAATAACTGAAGTTCCTCATATCTCATGTTCAGTTTAGAGGTGCTCAGGGAATCCACCCCAGCTTACTGATAAGGGGAATTAATTTATATGGAAAGTTATCTTAGCAAGAAATAAGTTATATCTAGTTGTCAATATCTCCGTGTATTGATTATTGCTAGGTAGGGATTCGATATGTACGCATCTGAACCAAGAGTAGTGGAAAAACATTGACGTCTTGGCATCGATTGAAATCTACTGCCTATGGTAGATACGCATTCGAAACAATAAATATTCACTTTAAATTAACTATGACGATTATTTCAAAGTACTCTTTTAAAAATTGGGACAACAATTGCAAACCGAAATCGTTAATTTCTTTGCAGTTAAAACAGATGAGGATTTTTTAAAATTCATTCAACGCAAAATGCTTTTGTAACAAATTCTTTCACTCAAATATCGACATTTTCCTCTCTTATTATCATTTGGATTAATTATACTTAAAGTCATGAGTATGACCTTGAACGGTAGTCACATTAATATTTGCAGCAATTTAAGAAACCTCCCGAATGCAGATCCATCTATCCACTAAAATGATCCATATTAGGTCATTCCCTGTCTTTCCACATTTTATTAGTCGCGGGTAGATATAAATCCTCTCTGGGATATGACCTAATCCATTTCCACCCAAAAATATCGTTAACATTGTTTCTAGAGTGTTTTAATTGTGCATTTTAGTAGACCTAAGTATCATTTCTACCTATCGCGAAATTTTTTACTAATAGTTCGGTATTATTGTAACATTTGGTAAATTTTAAATATAATGACAATGTTTCCATCAGTTTATATTATCAGCAATTGACCTCTAAACTTTAGCTTTTGGTAATGGACACAGTATGAAGTGATTTTTGCATATATCTTACAACTCATGTCTATAAACAAATTGAAACCCAGCACCATACACTACTCACCTTTATGTTTTAGTTTATTTAATTAAACATCTATTGAGCTTTTTTAATATTTGATTCGTTCTTTTAATAAGAATGTCGATTTACTATTCATGCACAAAGCACCAATAGGCGTTTGTTCTAGCTTGACTTAATACTCATTGTTGTTTTCAAGACTCGCTAAATTTCAACAACAAATTTGCATAACATGCAGAAATCGGCTACACTAAATGACTAAACTACCTGTTATTTCTAATTTAAATAGTATGCCCAGATGATGTAGTCACTCATGGGTCATGCATTTATGAAGATGAGGTAAGCCGGGCCTATCTAAGCGTCGAGACCCGATCATGGAATCGAGAAGGATGTAAGTGCAAGCAGCTTCCAGCAAAGGTAACTAGAGAACTCTGTGGTTGTCGACGTCAGGTATGGAATCAGAGGCGTTGCTATAGTAGGGGATCTCGCATACTTGTCAGCGTTATTAGGGAGAAATTAGTCAATTTACCTCGTGGCCCCAGATGCAAGATTGAAGTCCAAACCAGAAATGAGACTATTAGTGAGTTTGTCGATTGGTTAACCTATTAAGTGTCTGATTTTGTGCTTGAAATTACGCCCTCTATCTCTCTTAGCATGCCCAGCCTCCCAAATACATTATTCAAACTGTACTGATGGGGAAATGACAGTAATAATCGATTTGGTTAGTCCAAGAGGCTGTAGATGTGAGTCAACAAGGCTTATTCGAAAGCTTCGTTGTATTGAGATTGCAATAAATGAAGGCGTAGAGAGTCCAACAGGAAATAAAGAACAGCCTGGTAATTTGTCAAATGCCACTGAAAAGTTCAAAAACTTTGAGGAACTACGAGAGAGGTTGTCAAATCTCGGTCTGACCGATATTCAAGAACCTTCAGACTTTGTTGAAGATGGCGTTTTACCGGAAAAGGAGGAAGATGAGAATGATATTTTGAGGAGAATAATAAAACACGAAGAGGCTAATTCCCGATTGGATGGTGACTTTGTTGAATCTATAACCCTTAAAAATGCTGAAAATCGGCCTGAATTTCCTGAAATGACTAAAGAAGCGCCGGAAGTCTCAATAGTGGTCCATACAGTGGAATTGAAGAATCCTGATGAAGGAGAAGAGCCCCTTTACGACAAAAACACTAAGAATAATAAAAAGACCTCGAAATTCAGGTTGGGAAAACACAAAGTTAGAAAACATTTCTCCAATGAAGATGAAGGCGATTTCATTCCAGATGAATCTCGGGAGGAGAGCCCTACCCTTCGAAAGCAAAGAATAAGAAAATTAGAGCCGTCTCATCGTAAACCAACGGTTCCTTCCAGTGATACAACAGTTGCAAGTTCGCGGCCTGTTACCGAGACTAATACTCCTCAGTGGGAAATTATTTCAGAAGAGTCAGGTACAGAAAAGCCTGTCGATTTTCAAAATAAGACGACTTCAGAGAAAGAAAACAATACCAAATCTAGCGATGAAATAAATAGATCAGAAACCACGGCTTACCCTCAACATAAAAAGGCGCGCAGAACTCGAAGAAGAGTTCCAAGATTTGGACTTCTCGAACCACTTTATTACGAAGGAACGACTGAGACCGAGGCCGCGGAAATGAAGCAGTTCACCCAGAGTCCGCCCAGCACAGAGCTATCGGAATCAAGCCTTCCCAAATTGCCTAAGAAGAAAGCTGATCGAACTAAATCACCTAAAAGGATCGTGCTCAACGCGGTTGAGTGTGTAGATCTTCTGAACCCAGAGAAGTGTGCGGAAATGGAGAAAGGTCCTAATTCTGAATGTGACAAACATGGACAAACTAGAGATGAGCTTTGTAGAAAGACCTGTCGTGTTTGTCAAGGTATTATTCATTAATGTGTTAAAAGCTTTAATTAATATTTTCCCATTCAAAATCCTTATTGGTTATAGATTTCCCAATTAACGAGACAGAATTTACAACTGAAGGAGACAGTAAAACTGACTGTCTATTGGTTGATGTGCGTTATGTAGCAAAGTACCATCTTCAAACTTTGAAAGAGGCTGGTTTATCAAAGTGCAAGTCAGCATGTAGCAAAGAACCTCGTTGTCTTGGATTTGATTTCTACATTCCACTCAAGGAAAGCAACAAAGGAAGTTGTGTTTTAGGAACGGTAGATCGAACCACGCTCAAAATTCGACTCAATATAAGTGACGTTAAAGAAGGAGCTAGTGAAGACGAACTTAACAGAATGGAGGCTGTGCATTGCATTCATTTTCGAAAGATACGTAAATCAGGTAGGAGAGATTTGAATTGAGTATAAAGGTGTTCTACCTTTTATAATAATTACTATTTGTTCGGGTCTTTAGTGGCAAGTACTGAAGACAAACGGACACTACATTACGGGTCAAATTGTACCTGTGAAAGACTGAAATCGGTGAATCCCTTGGCTTTCACGGTATCTCCAAGCCTAGATAAGTCTGTGAATGGTCGGCAACATTGCACAAAAGAAATTTATAATTCGGCACGAGTGACATGCCAATCTCCGCCTACATTGACTGATGATGGAGTTTCTGGAAGAAATTTAACGAATATCAGTATTTGTGTGGATGTAAAACCAACAGAATGGTGTGAGGAGGCAGCTAGAACAGGATCTTGCAAGAAAAATTCTTTTAGAGCGGTTAGAAAACTTTACTATTGTTCAAACGCTCCTTTTAAGCATGCTCTTACTTAACAATTTTTCCTCTAGGTATGTGGAGGTACATGCGGTGTATGTGCATGTGATAAGAGCTACGAATATATTGGAAAATGTTTTCCGAATGGAAAGATGACAGTGGTGAGAATCGAAAATAGGCTTAGTCCTTCTCATGGACGCTGTATTTCCAAAAGATATGTTAGCGTTGTTCCTTGCGAAGGTAGGACGTCTTAATGCTCTTTTTATTCATTATTCACTGTGCATCACCCTGTTTCCCTTTCTGTAGTCTGCCCAGCTAACCCATATGAGATTGTTCAGTCATGTAATCCAAGAACAGAAAGCCGTTTATTAATTCGTGTTAATCCCGTTCAAAACTTAAACAACCCAGCAAAATGCAATCTGAAGATATCAAAGAGGGAAGTCAGTTGCAAAGATTGCATGTTTGAGGATGGTCGCAGTATTGAACGCAGTACTATTTCAAAGTGTAAGAGACGTAAGAATGGCAACTATCGATTATTCCTGAAAACAGAATACGCTGTCAGTGTAAACGGCTGCTGCAAACTTAGAAAGTGAGTTTTGATCATTCAATTCAAAGTTATCTTTTAATAATGGATACTAATAATGGATGCACATTCTTACTTTAGATCATATCGGAGTTTTCCTTGTCTTGGTTGCCCAAAACCAAAGATTGGTCATTCAAAATGTCTAGGCGGCTGGCAAATGAGAACTATAATCTTCTTCGTCCGGCCATCAACTGGAAAATTCAGTGACGAAACCAAAAATATCCCATCCTCAGCTTGTTTCCGCCATATAATTTCAACGAAAGAGCGCTGCGTTTCATTTAAAACGCACCACAATAGTAACTCTTATTGCATAATTTAGAAAAATTACTGCTTTTAATCTGCTCTATCTGATGGCTTGTCTATTTTTAAGGTAATTGTACGAATCTCCTGGGCTTAACTGAATGTCAGGAATTCAAGAATGGAGGGAATTGTGCTAGCGAACCCAGAATGGCTTGGAAACTTTGTGCTAAACAGTGCAAAATGTGCTGATTTTACTTGAAATTATGGTGTGGCACTTTCTTCAAGATTATCTAATTAATAAATGTTTCTTATACATTAATTGTAACCGCCTTGATCGTGATAACTGGCATGTTCTTTGCGATTGTGTTAAATACAATGGTTTTAGAGAACTGCTATTTCACCAATTTAAGGAAACTACGCAGCTATTACTATAGACTTGGTAGCAGTGTGAATGGAAACCAGTGATATTTAATTTAATATGTACATAAACATATATGTGAGTCGTTTCAGGAAGTAGCTAATGATTCAGCCTATTGGGAAATGGGTGAATGTAGCAGAGAAATCAAAGTTCAATATCGAAGTTTCGTTCATCGGGGAATTTTTCGTGACGTGCTACCAATCAAAATTTAATTGTAGTTTAAATGAGGATTTAGAGCGCTATTGGCACCAAGTTGCCTCCCTTTGTACTTAAGTCAAGTTTTGAATTCTTTGCATTGTGATTATTGAAATAAAAACAATCTTCCCGCTCATTCTTAAATAAGGCATTTACTTTGTGTTTATATCGATCATAGGAAAACTCTCCGCACATTTTCCAAAATAACTTTTTGGCATGTGTTGAACTTTCGCCTTTATATTTCTATGGCTCAATCCCTATTTGCCATGCCTAAATGAGTTTACTTATTCATCTTTTATTCCTATAACTGTTCTCTTTCATTTAAAAGTTTACGTGTACTCATAGCATCACACGAACCCTTTGCTTTATAAATTGCCTTTTCAGCTTCCATCAGATTCACACACTCTCCTTACTTATCCTACCACCCCCCTCCCATTGCTATCTTGCTCACTCAAATTCTTGATGTAGTGTGTTCAATACACAACATAATGTGTTCTACTTTTGGTACTGTTGATTGGAGTTGGTAGATGCAAACAAAAACTTAACTTCTACAGTTGGGTTCTGGTTCGTTAGTTCTTCAATTTGGTAGCTCATAGATTGGTTAATCGGTTCATTTTTACTTAGCTCCATCACAATATTAATAACGTACACAAGTAGTTTATTCAAAATATTATTAAAATCTAAATAAAACGTAAGGAACTTTTCAAAACGCTAAGATTATAATAACTGTAGCAGTGTAATTTTCATACATGATTTGTCTTTAGCAAACTCTTTTTCCGCGCGGCGTACCACGATCTCTTAGTGTAGGTTTGAGTACTCGGTTTAATTACATTTTGCTCCTATAGATCAGTTAATTAACCGATGATATCTCCACTCGCCCTTGCAGTAGAATCTCGAGGTCTCAGTTTGAGGATATAATTTTTAAATAGTCTTAATGCCATTGATTGAATGTTTAATAGAGTATACCTAACTCACTTCCGACTTGCATCGGTCTTACTACCCCGTCCACCACTCCTCGGAGGTATTAGAATGATTCGAGAGAACCCATGAAGTATAATGCACATGTAATAGCAGGACCCGTTGAATTTTTTTACAGAAAGTTAACTTGATAGAAAAGAGTTAATCAGAGTTTTAAAGGATGAGTTATTTCGAAAGGACTAGAATGAAGTACTATATGAGAAATAATGCCCAGGGAGAAGGCTGATGCTTTAGTTCAGAGTTAACCTACAACAATTACCCATATAGCAAAATAATTTCATAACGGGCAGTTGATTTCTGACTTCAGACTACCATGATCAGGCTCCATGTAGTATTCGACCACATTCAAAGTAATCACCTTACCTTTTTCTCTACCTCTGTGTCTGTCACTTTTACAACAGTGAATCAGTTCTCTATTCCCTCTCTTTACATTTTTAGATTTTGATGTTCCTTCCCTCTATGAAGCCCGAAGTCAACTAAGGGGCTGATGATAACTATCATAAAGCCTGCCATTTGATATATATAAATATTAGAGGGCGCTGAAAAAGTCTAGTTACATTAAACTGTATATATATGTACTTTAAACAAAAACCAAAATATATAAAACAGATAATTGATCCTTAAGTAAAAAATATTGCTTTTGCACTGAATTTAATATTTTTAATTCAATTTTGTCTAATAAATAGTTGTTAGCATTTAGTAAAAAGCATATTTCAATAGGACCAACAATTCACTGCAATAATAAATTAAATTTCAATTCATTTGTGAAATCTTAATGAATTCAACATTTCCTATCCATATTTTTAATTTCCCTATGAAAATTTTATTTGACACAGTTTACCTACATCTTTTACACATTTTATTATCACGCCAATTACAAATTAATTTTAATTACTTCTATCTCGAAATATAAAATGTCATATATTTGGAAATAACCTACTGATTCAAATCAGTTTATTTAATAAAGTTTGAATACTTTTAATATACCACATACGCACCGTTGCTTTCGTACAACTTCGTGTCTGCGGTATGGCAGAGTATGATTTGACTAAGACTATAAGTCAGTGTTTGGACCGGCACCTTGTCGTCCCATTGCTTGAATACCAGTCTGTTAAATCAGTAGGCTTGATTCTAAATTCTTATTTCTTAGATTTACGATCAAGATACTGTAACGAAATGTAAATTGGATCTCCTAATGCAAACCTCTATGGTTGATTTTACTCTCCTCACCTACAAACTTCTTCATAAAACTGAGGAAGTTCCTAAGGGTAGTTATTTTACTACCACATATTTTTCTAGAACTCACTCAAAAGCGTGATGAGACACTTAATCGCATTTCCGAAATAGAGAAAAAGATGGCTCCGATCGATAAAATCTTTAGTACTGAGACAATGAAGGAAATGGTACAGTGTAAGGTTGCCAAGGACCTTTTTCGCAATTTAGAAGAGAAGTATGGATTTAAACCTGAGATGTTGGATGATATGCTTGAGGCTGCAAGGGTAAAATCTGTTTAATTTTATATCCTCGAAGCTATGGTCATTCTTAACTGAAATATTGTACACATTAGGTTTTTTATGACAGCGGTCTTTACGATACTGCCTCAGATTATTTGCGTATCATTCGCCAATTGGTTAGCCCCAAAGACAAAAGACATCTAAATGCTTGTTGGGGTCGCTTAGCTGCAGAGATCCTTGTACAAAACTGGGATGAAGCTTTAGATGATGTCGAAAAACTTAAGGAGGCTATTGATTGTCAGAGTGAGGAAAAGGTACGTTACAATTCTCCTCTAGTTCAAGTTTATATCGAATGAAACATTAAACCTCTGCATACATTTAGCAAAAGGCATCTTCCGATACCTACTTGGTCCAACTTCAGCAAAGAACTTGGCTTCTCCATTGGTCACTTTTCGTGTTTTTCAACCACATTCAAGGAAAGGAGAAACTCATTGATTTCTTCCTTAACAACCCCAAGTAAACACTTCGAGGTTTTTTATTCTTTTGTTTGCTTAACTTTACTATTTGCATAATTTTATACTTTCAGTCACCTGAATGCTATTCAAACCGTAGCGCCACATCTTTTGCGCTACCTGGCCACGTGTGTTGTCGTTAGTAACGATAAGAAAAAGAAAAGTTACTTGCAATCTGTTGTTCATCTTATTCAACAGGAATCCTATCGCTATAAGGATCCAATTACTGAGTTTTTGGAGTGCCTTTATATCAAATTTGATTTTGATGGTGCTCAACAACAACTGAAAATCTGTGAAACGGTTAGTGTTTGCTCAAACGGTTTTAAATGCATACACAACGTCCAATTATCTTATTATTATTTTTGCTCTGGCTTTTAATAGGTCATCCCGAATGACTTTTTCCTGACGGGTTGCTATGAGGACTTCATGGAGAGCGCTCGATTGTTGATGTTCGAGACATTTTGTCGCATTCACAACTGCGTTGGAATCTCGTAACTACGCACCTTTAAATATTATCTCTGTAATTGAGCTAGAAACTTTTATGTTTTGTTTTACATTTTTTTCAGAATGTTAGCTGAGAAACTTAACATGAAGGTTGAGGATGCTGAAAGCTGGATTGTTAATTTGATTCGAAATGCTGACATGGATGCAAAAATTGATTCCAAAAAGGTTTTAAATCAATCTTAATTTTTCTTTATATAAATCAATACTGTAATGACAACGTAATTAAGCTATCTGCTTTTTAGGGGTTGGTGTTTATGGGTACTCAGACTGTGTCTCCCTATCAACAGGTGATTGAAAAGACATGCAATGGAGCCTTTACTGCTCACAAACTTCTAGATCGACTTAAATCTGCTAAATTGGATGCTGAAACAGTAAGCCGTCTGACTTTCGTTTTGAGCCTATTGATCTGTAGCGTTAATTCTAAATCGTTACTTTTTTCTATTTTTTTAGTGGAATTCTGTATCACGAACCTAACTCGTGTAACTTTGCTCCTGACAAAAATCAAATCTGGTGTGTGTATCAATAAACTGCCCCTATTCAGACATTCCTGTTTTAGTTGTTGGGTGAACTTGTTTTTACTTCGTTATGTTAGTCACTGTTGGATCATGTCAACTTTATGTGGAGAAAATTTTGCACTTAATTTAATTAATTGGTCAGAATTTGAATTTTTTGTGTTTTATAAATGCCATTCATAGATTTATCTAAATTAAGCAGCGCCTACAACACAATTTAATTTTCTTAGCCATTGAATTATTGAATGTTCTCTCTTACGCTTGTAGGGTAGAAAAGACGATATCCTTTTGAACAGCCGCCGGCTAATTTCATTAGCCTAAATAGAAACTGGCTCTGTTTTAAAAATTGGCAGGTCCTGAGTGAAAGCATTCATTAAAAAGTGGGATGGGAATACTGGGAACTCATGTTCTGTGCGTCGTTTTCTCAGTATATATATATAGTTCGAACGAAAGTTATTTATATCAAATGACAGCCTTTCTGATAGTTATCATTAGTCCCTTAGTTGGCTTTGGGCTTCACGGGGGAAGGAACATCAAAGTCGCAAAAGGACAAGAGAGGGAATAGAGAACTGATTCACAGGTGCAAAAGTGACAGACACAGAGGTAGAGAAAAAGGTAAGGTGAGTACTTTGATTGTGGTCGAATACTACATGGAGTCTGGTCATGGTAGTTTCAAGTCAGAAATCAATTGTCGGTTTATAGACTTTTTTGCTGTATGAGCATGCGTTGCCCAGGGTGCAAGATGTGGAGGTAAGTCGATCGTTCACCTCAGTTCGAGTTAAATAGGTTTTACTCTGAACGTTTCCATCCGAACTTGAGAGCAGTATGTACACGAAGCCTACAATTCCTTTGTTGAATCATTTTGTAATTCTCTTTATACAACCTGTGACAGGATGATGGACTTCCCCAAATATCTTGTATCAAGCGATTTTGGCACAGGCATTGTTTGTGGCGATTGATCTTGATAATATGCAAAAAGATTCTCAGGCAGCAGTATTTTAATGTAGTTGTTGCCGACTTTCTGACTCTGTAGACCTTTTACCAGAATAGCTGCTTTATTTGAATTATCGACATCGAATTATCACTTCGAGAGTCTCATTTCAAATATGGACTCGGTTAGGTTCAAGTGTAGTCTGTGGACAAATGCTGGAAAGTCAACCGGTTGTCAAAGTAAAGTAAGGGAACACCCAATTGGAATATTCTTGATACTATCGTGGCCTGTTGAAAAAGAGCTAGCCCTGCAAACACCTCTGATCCATCTTTTGAAACTGATTTTCTTCTCCAATGGACATCTTTGTTAAAACGAAATATACGTATAACAACTCTAACTTATGATTAAAAGAAATATTAAGTTTTTCCTCAATTTTTCTTTAAAAGAAGCCTATTGAATATAAAATATCTTTTCAGCACTGTCATGTTTTGAAGAAGAAGGCGTGGAGACTGATTTCGTATGTTCCTGCCCAAACTTATTAAATACCTGCACAGACAGGGAAATTGTCTGTTATCGTTCAAAAAGAATAACTTGGTGCATGTTTGTGGATAGATATGACAATTGAACTCGCTTGTTTATCAATTTCTTTTTAGCATAGGCATGTCAGCGGACGAATGACGCATCAAATATATATATATATATATATATATATATATAAGAAAATTCGTGATTTTTTGCTTTCAAACTCCAAATGTAATTAAAGTTGGAAAGATATTCGATGTTAAAATAGTATAATATGCATTCAACTGAGTTGCTTATTTTGACCCCATTAATTAATTGTGCAAATAAAATTAACTGTAGTTTGACCAGTAACTAAACTAACATCTAAGGTAATCTAATAGGAATTGTGCAAACTATTCCAAATCCAGGTCATGAAATATAACGTGTATATTAGGTTTCTTATTTATAAATCTATATCTACATATCTATAGATCTGTAAGTTGCATAAATTCTACAGCGAAGTCAACAGCGAATATTGTTTATTCCATTCTCGAAGTATCTATTTCGCATAAAGGTAATTTATATTTATTATGGGTTCGATCTTAGTTATTTTACAGCTATTTATATTAATGGCCAAATGTTTAATTCAATAGACACAGAGCTAATTAAAAGGGCACTCGTGTATAAGAATTTTACCAGAGTTGTCCTTATCTTTTGAGAGGTGGTTGCATACCATCTAAAAATATTTTTTAATTAAAAATGTATATATAAGTGGGAAATTGGTTTGCTATTTGGAGTATGTCGTGAACATTAATCCTTGATTGGGCTTAACTGAGTTTTCATTTTCGCAAATAATAACGATTTAATTATTACTGAATATTTTATTTATTTCAAATGGCAGGCGTTGTGATAGGTATCATTAGCCCTTTAGTTGACTTCGGGCTTCACAGAAGGGAAAATGAACATCCAAGTGGCAAAAGTCGAGAGGGGGACAGAATAATTATTCACAGACGTAAAAGAGACAGGCAGACACAAAGGTAGAAAAAAGGTGAGGTGAATACTGTGGAATTATTCGAATATGAAATATAATGGGGTCATGGTAGTTTGAAGTCAGAAGTCAACTGCCGATTAATAGACTTTTTGACGTATGAGTATACGTTGCCCAGGGTGCACCACGTGGAGGTAAGTCTATCG